TAATATCTTGACAAGTGACAAGGTTGTCGAGCCACGCATGCGCGCGCTCGAGGGTGAGAAGAGTGAGCGTCATGTCTACATGGCGATCCATGACGTGTGTGTCAGTGCGTGTGGTACCCACCTACCCAGTTTTCGAATTTGCCGATCGAATTCCATCCATGGAAGCGGTCGTACGGGAATCATCAGAAGAGTTGACGAGTAGCTTGGGGTATGGATCTTCTCCACATCCGTAATAAGTCGAAATCCAATGTCACTGGGTGCCGAGACCTGTATTCTTCTTCGATAGAAAATTCACCCTTTTTGACCTTGCTTAACCAGTAATGGATAGTCATTCGACTGGCAGTGTTCTCCCTGTAGAATTTCCGTCATATAAGGCTGGTTTGGGTAGAGGCCAGACATTTGAGGAACAGCATGGCAGGAAAGCGGCCTTAATATGGCTCAAATTATCAAGACAACTCGATGCAGTTTTGTAGCCCGTTTCCTGTTCTATCGGCCGACCACGCAGTTGACCGAATCAATGTGGAGATAGTCTAAAAAACCGAGATCAAATTCACATAGTCGCAAAAGTACCATTACTTTCTTTCCAACCTGATACTAGGGAAGCTCAGCATCGCAAAATTTACACCGGAGGATTTCTCTCTCCCAACGCTGAACGCTACTAGAAAATTTTTGTAATTTACTGCAAAGTTTAGCGGGTGATTACGACACAAGTTGTTCTTGCAACTCAGCAAAGTCCACATTCTTTACGTCAGCACAAGACCATGCGTTTCTGAGACGACATGACGTAAGATCGTGGAGCTTGTTCGGGAAATTCTACCGTGACCACCGTACACTCTGATTTAGCACATTTTGATTACCATCTTTCTCCCTGAGTAGCCATCTTTCAAGCAGCACAAACAATCTTCAAAAGTTCTTCGGAAATTTAGCTTTTCCAGCCCGAAACCGCTAAGATTATGGAAGCGTCTGTTCTTCGTACGATTATTGGTAATAAGTCATTAGTGACGATGGCGAATATTTCTTTTGACTGGTATTGCTTATGGTTAAACTAAATCCATCCCGAAGAAAGTATGCCATAGTTACGATTTTTTGAAATGTCCTTGCATCAGTTCACTAAGATTCCGATAGAGACTTCAGTATCAAAGAGTCACTGATTTTTTAGAGACAAACTGGACGCTCACTCACGATGTGGATCCATGCAAAGTGAATGGGTCGGCAGCTGTGGAAGCATGCTACTTTCGACATTTGAAAGAGTGCGGAAATGAGGGTGGAGTGTAGGGAGGGGTGGATTCTGTTTTTATCTCCACCATAAGTTCACAACATGCAACACGTGCGTCGATGCCAAGTTTCCGCAGCGAACAACATGATTGGCAGGCTGTTTATCGCGGCCAAGTATAGAGAACAACACGTCCTCGACCGAATGAGAGAGGCACGAGCACGTACCGCGGCCGGCTAGGCTAGGCACATACCTGGTATTGCGGCGTGCTGCATGCTACTTGCATTGTCTACGGGTGCATCCCTAAACGGCGTCCGGCCCTCCAGCCGGGGCACGCCATGGCGCTGTGATAAATTTCTGCTAAATACGACGTCCTCCCCCCCCCTGTCTACTGCTAATCAGGTAGAAGGTAAGCGATTTTATGCCGCAAAAATCATTTACCTGCTACCAGATAAAAAATTAACTGCTGGCAGAGACATGCCCCATGAGGCCACCAGCCCAAGATTGTTCATCTGCCATCAGATGAAAATTTGAGTGCTGGTGGCCTCATGCGGTGCGAATCTGCCATTAGCCGAAAAATGAAGACACCAAAAAATGTGAAAGGTCTGCGGAAAAAAAACTGCAAAAAAGAAGCGGGTAGTTAAGGATGAGTTGTGCAAAATACGAAGGAAGCAAGATCATTCCAAATAAAGATTGCAGAAGATTGAAGAAGGACCATTATAAAACACAACTTAAAGGAAAAAAAGACGGGAAAATACATATGGCCGCACTTGAATATCAACTGTTCTCGGCCATCTAAAGTTGCATTTAGCGTTAGAGCACGCTTTGTGCCTGGTATTGGAGCGACCTATTCCATGGTTTCTATTTAGTTCCAAGTCAAGTTCTCCGGACGTAATCTCATTTTGAACACCCATAACTTCTATGAAAGTTCAGTCCCCAAAAAAGGGAAGGCAGGACTGCGACGCACTGATTGTTTGAGCGATTTCGTAAGACCACATTTTCAAGTAAGTTCAAGTCCCCGTTGTGGCCCCGTCACGACATTTGAGGGTCACTTACGAGTTCTTACGCTTTGAACAGCCATAACATCTTCATACAAGGCCATTTATAAAACAAAAAAAAACCCATGCCGGCGTAGTGGAGTCGAAGTAGAAGATTTATTAGAGAATACCAATAGAAGACGAATAGAAGACGAACTGATTAGTAAGAAATCGGTGCCTTTTATACTGGTTGGCCCTGGTCAAACATGCTAGTCAAAACCCCAGAAGTAAAGATCCAATAGTACAATTTGGGCGCTTAAATGCGATCACTTTTTGACAGTGGGTGATCACCCTACTACAAATCCCTTTCCTTAACATCTCCCCTTTTCAGGTAAGATCGTATGATTTCCTCTTGGGATCCGCTGTGAGTCGATGCGGCGTCGAACGATTGCATGAAGATCGTCGTATTAGGTTGTTCGAAAAGTCCTGCGACACTTTGATTGAATTGTTCTAGAAAAAGACCAAAAATCATTTTGGATGTTTTTATCCCTGGAGACTGTCCTCTGATGTTTCTGCACATGGGTATAATCTATGGACTCTGAGGAGGTTTTCAAATCTTAAAAGTCCCCCCAGAGATTGAGGTACTTTCCGACCCTGTCCCATATTATGAGTTCCTGTAGGGCCACTTCGCCGTAGTCGTGAGGCTGTCACTTACGTTGTCTTGGGGAAGGATATCGCTTGCCATGCAGAGGGTAGCTTTTGCATCAGCGCTGGACTTATTTAACTCGTAGTTGGGCAATGTATAGGTCGCCTATCAGCACAGATGACGGCCCTTTACTCAAGCTTCTTGAGGCGCAGCCGAACGTAACACCGATAAGTTGGCGACCTCTCTAGGCTCCATCTGACTGACAACTGCCATGCTTCTCCGCAATCTCGGTTACCGGAAAAAATTTTGTGAAGGATGCCTCATGAGTTGGACCCGTCTGACAAGCCATACCGAATGACCGTGACTGAGTTTTCTTTTCCTTGTACACAGCGTAGGAACTTTGTGCAGATTTGTGCTAGTTCGGTAGAGAGTGGTGAAGTCCTTTCTTACATCATGCACATGTCAGGATCTCTCAAACAGAAAAGTAGATTGCTTAGCCAAAGAGAAGATGTGCATGGGATAAAGATTTCAGTGTGTTATTGGTGGGACTTCCAAGCAGCATCACTGGATACCAGCTCCGTTGTAAGGACCACAGTCCACTTTAATCGACTTTAAAATATGGATGACGTCACGCTAATTCATCCAGAAATGCTCAATTTTTCTCTATTACTCGGTAATGCGAGGACCGCTGTGGGGATCAGGCTACGCCAAAAGATCGTGCTTTTCGTTCAGAGAATGCGACCGTACTCAGGTTATTTAGCGAAGTTAGCAGCCTCGAATAAGCACCTCCTTTGGTCACTATCGCATCTTTCACAAAGCAAAAGTTCCGAAAATCAACCTCAACTCGAGAATGAGGTCCGCCTCTTCTTTTTACCCAGTTGCTGTAGTTCTATGAGAATGGTAATGAGAAGCTGTGCAAAAGAAAGGCACTAGTCCTAGTCATCAACTGCGGTTACCTTGTAGATTGGAGATGTCTTCTACTGACCAGAAATTTAGTCCGAAAAATTTGGTCAAAGTGTCGCAGGACTTTTCGAACAAGCTAATAGTTGTGGTCCTGGTGGTGCCGATGAACGTTGAATCGTTTTGCATCGAGAAACTGGATGAAGTTGGCGTCATGACATTGTCGAGCGTCGTTCGATCGGTGGGAGTGGTACGTTCATCACGGAGTGGAGCGAGGTGAGAAAACGTCTAGAACTTGGTAGACTATGGGAGCGTGATCACGAGGTTTGAGCTGATTTGCATGTCGTGTCCATAATAAGTTGCCACAGCGTGTCAGGCAGGTGACCTTGCCCAGACGTCGTACGGCAACGCCAGGCGTCTATGTGCTCTTTGCTGCACGGTAATCCTTGGCGTAGAGCATCATCGATATTGAAGTAGCGACGTCCGGTTCCATGATGTTTGTTGAATTGGCGCTCTATTTCGGTGTCTCGTTGTGCATTGTTCTCATTGGAGCTGGGCATCATCAGGTCCAGTTGTGTGCGCAGTCGACGTCCCAGAAAGTTTGCGGCCGATGATAGTCGGTCTGGTCCGGAGATGCAGGGCGTTGAACGTATGCCATCAGAAAGGTTTGAAGTGCAACCGATGTTGCTTCCTCCCTCTTCAATTTGGCTAATCCTCTCTTGAACGCATCCACAAAACGCTCTGCTTGCCCATTGCTTTGTGGATGGAAAGTAGGGGAACGGATGTGTTTGATTCCTTGAGACGGCAAAATTCCTCGAATTGCCTGGAGGTGACTGTGTGCCGTTATCCGTGATGAGCGTCTGCGGATTACCAAACTGTGCAAAAAATTTTGCAACTTGAGAGCCTGATTGTAGCACACGATGAGATGGAGTTCAGCTGGATGATCTTAAGCCACTTCGAGAATGAGTCTACAACGACGAGGTAGAATGTCCCTTCAAAAGGACCTGCAAAGTCCGCGTGTACTCGGTCCCATGGCCTGGTTGACTTTGGTCAGGACTGGAGCTCGGTCTTCACAGGGCTCTTGGCATCTTCCGCACAGGCTGCAATTCCTGGCGAGGTTGTCGATATCCATGGCCAGTAGAAATAGCTGCGGGCCAGCATCTTCATTCTGGTTTGGCCCGGATGAGCTTTGTGGAGCGATTGTAGTACTCGATGTTGAAGAGACTTCGGGATGACAATACGGCTTGAAGTCATCAGGCATGAGTCAGTAGTTGAGATTTCTCGTCGGTTGTAGTAGTGCCAGAGTGGTGAATTGAGGTCCACTCTTGGCCAGCTTCCAGTTCGGATACAGTCGATGACTGAAGATAGAATACGATCAGAAGTGGTCGCGATCTGCACAGTTTTGAAGGAGACCGGAAGATGATGACACTGATCCTTTACTTCGACAGAGACATCGGCCTCGATGCCAGCAATGACTTGATCTTCTACTTCCGGTGGCTGTGAGACGATCAGACGTGAAAGAGCATCAGCTTCATCAAAATCCTTGGTTCGCACGTACTCCATGTTGAAGTTGTAGTTCAGTAGTATAGTAGCCCATCTTTGAAGACGGTCCGCTGTGTAAATCCGGACTCCTTTTGTTTCCGTATATGAGCTGCTTATGGTCTGTCTTCAGTGTGAAATGACGTTCATCTACGAATCGGTGGAACTTCTGGACAGCAAAAATCGGGGCGGCCTCCTTTTCGATTTGGCTGTACTTCTTCTGAGCTGGAGGCAAGGCTCGGCTGGCGTGGTAGATTGCTTTTTCGGATCCGTCAGGAAACCAATGAGAGAGAACAGCTCCGATACCACAGTTGGAGGCATCTGCTGCGACGATGAGTGGCAGCGAAGCGTCATATTTTGTGAGTAATAGATCCGATCTTAGAACTGCTTTGATGCGATCAAAGCACGACTGGCACTTTGGAGTCCACGAATAGATGGCATCCTTTTTGGTGAGTGCGTCCACCGGGGCGCGTAGGTTGTGCAGACCATTGACGAACATTCCATAGAGGTTAACTATTCCCAAGAAGGCTCGAGGTTGACCGACGTCTTTCGGTGCAGGCATTCTATAAATTGCTTCAATCTTCGCTGGGTCCGCTCGACGCCCCTCTGCGTTAATCACGGAACCAACGTAGTTGTTCTCAATTTGTAGCAGTGAGCACTTCTCCAGGCGAATGCGAAATCCATACTCATGAATTCTTCGGAAAATAGCTTCCAAACGAGAATTGTGTTCTTCAAGAGTAGTGCCAGTGACGATGATATCATCCAGGTGTGCAGCAGTGCCATCCAGTCCAGCTATAAGAGTCCATTTGCTGCTGGAAGATTCCTGGGGCGACCTCCACTCCGAAGGGTAAGCGATTGAGGCGACAGAGGCCGCGATGTGTGTTAATGGTTAGGAGCGGTTGAGAATCTTCATTGGAGTACGCTACGCCCAGGTCCAATTGAGAGAAATAGCGTCCTCCATTCAGCCTGACGAAGATTTTGTCTGGCGTCGGAAGTGGATGCTGATGTTGCATGAGGGCGTCGTTCAGGCCTGTAAAAAAAATTTGCGCACAGCGGAATGGTTCCATTCTTCTTCTGCACGACGACGACGGGAGCGGCCCAGTCTGAGTGATCGACTGCCGTAAGAACGTTAGCAGCTACCAGGCGGTCGATTTCTTGAGAGATGCCAGGTTGAACGGATATGGGACGGGACGGGCCTCCTTGAAGACAGATTTGGCATCGGGCTTGAGTTTCAGTGAGGCCTTCAATTTCGTGCAGCATCCCAGTCCTGACGCGAATACAGCAGAGATTGCTTCTGAAGTTGCATGGTGAGTGATTTCCGCAGAGTCGCGAGTGTGGGAGCTGATACGGCATTGCAGAGAAAGTTTCCAGTGAGCTTCTGGAAGAGCGGCTTGGCTTGTGTGATCCAATCGAGTCCCAGCAGTGAAGCGGTGTGGGCGACATGGCAGCTTCCTTTTCCTTCGTGTCCATCGATTGAGAAAATACTTTTGAAATGGCCTCTGACGTTGATTTCCTTATTGTTGGCAGATTTTAGCTTGAATAACGACGGTAGCAATTTCGGACGGCCCGTTGCTATCCAGTCTTTGTGACTCAGCAGAGTGATGTCGGTTCCCGTATCGAGACGCATACGTGTGGGGACTCTACTGATCTCGACGGTTCGATAGATACGTTTCATCGAAAGTGGGTCGCTGGTGGAGGATGCAACGACCACAACTTGATTCCTCCGCCTGTGTTTCTTCTTCGACTTCGAGAGATTCCGTCCGTTCCGTCTGTTGGAATTCTTGCAAAATCCTTTCTGGGTCCAACACGGTTGCACGAGTGGCAGCGTTTCTCCACGAAGTCGCGATCCTTGGCCCAGTGTTGTCCTCCACAGTGGGAGCAGGGTGACGGTGGCCCCTTGCTCTGACTCTTTTTTGTATTACCCGCATTGACTTCCGACAAAGGTGCTGCAGGCGGTGGATGGCATGGATATATCTCGGCGCCGAGATCCCGGAGTGCAGTGTCTGGATTGCTCTCCAGCTTGCGTAGAGCATGAGTGCGAATATCAGCGAATTCAGCATCAGCCAGGCCGCATATCCAAACAAGGCACTTCATCTGTTCCGGCGTAATTGTGCTGAAGTCAGCCGATTCACTAGTCCAGTGTAATCGTGAAGAGTTTCACCATTGCACTGAGAAGGAAGGTCTTTCAGGTCGTGGCGGGTTTTTGGAAATGGTTTGTTGCTTGTTTTAGGGGTCCATAGAAGGATCTTAAGAATGGGTTCCATTTTTGCTACGCGTTTCGGAGGAGGTCAAAAAGTGAGTAAAAAATTCGACAAGTATGGGCGACTTTAACTGCTATAATGGGCTCCGTTCTGATTGTAGGTTGGCGGAAAAGTTCTGTCATACTTTTTTGAACCCAAGTATTCGCCCTCAACCTGAAGAGGCTAACCGGTAATGTGAGCATTTATACATTAAGGATTGATCTTTCTGTTGGTGTCTCTGGCTCGGCTCCTGCTCATCCTTATTCTGCATTATGGACAAGTATGTTGTCCGCTACCTTCATCACCGACTCCTTCAAGCGCTTCCTTAAACTATTTCTTCTAACACCCTAGTGCCAGCATGGCAGCTGTCGACGCTGAAATAATGGAGCTGCACAAGGACAGTGTCTACAGTCATCAGACAATCTTCCACGAAACGATGGGTCGGGAAACTACTGGATGAAGAAGCTGACTCCTCGATCAATCCATACCCAAGGCAGCTACCAGATCTGAAGCGAATCGTCAAGCAGAGGGCAAAATCCATCGGCACAGTCCGTCTTCAACGTGCTGGTGCAGCACACCCCGTCAAAAAAAGTTCGAGCCGTACTTCATGCAATAGAGCTGGATGGCTCTCCCCTTGCACTGGTGTAGTCCAGACATTGGTCTTCTTGACCGCTAGTCGCCTCCCGTGTTCAACCGCTATACAGCCGAGAAAACCTCCACGACTTGAGCCCAAGTCAATGTTGAGATGGTGTCCAATTGTGAGTCGGGCCGGCGTCCATTGTTAAGCGATGGCATCCACGAAGTGTCCAAAAAACTGGCAAGGGTCTCTCAATAACATTGCTGTATAATTTTGATCTTGTACGCCTTTCTGTAAAAAGAAAGTCCAATTCGAAAAAAAATGTGACAGAACTTTCCCGCCAACATAATAACTTCGAGCATGCATAGTTTATGAGGTGCTCATTAATAAGGCTTCAGAAATGGTTTTAAATAAAGTCAAATTGTAAGTATCATTTAATAACACACTGGGCATGCACCGAAGCAACAGTGATATTTTTGTCAGCGGTCCCCTCACGCTCACTACAGGCAGAACGGGTGGCGTAGCGGATAAATCGACGGATTCTAGATGCGACGACGACACGACATTTCATATAGTTACAATCAGAAAGGAGCCCATTAAGATAGGCAAAATCGCCCACTCTTGTCAAATTTTTCTCTCAGTTTTTGACCTCCCCAGAAACGCATAGCAAAAATGAAATTCAAGATCCTTGTATGGATCCTCACAACAAGCAACAAACCATTTTGGAAAAGCGCGCCACGACCTGAAAGACCTTCCTTGTGAGTCCTGAGGTACGCATTGCGACGTGCAAATACAGATGAATTGTGCTCGAATAGTTCTTGCAGAATCTTCACTGTTTCAGTAGCGGGAATATCAGCAGCTTTCCTTGGCAGGATATGGTTGGTGAATGGTGCATAGGCTGCTGCATCCAGCTTTGACACGATGATCCGACCAGCATCGCATCGAGTGAGGCACCATCTTGCATTATGATATCCTCGTACCGACTGTACCACAGGTAGAAGGTACAGCCGCTTTCTGGATCTGCGTGAATACTCGTAGACGTGTAGACAGCGAGTTGATGATGAATTCTGCCGACCTTGTTTGGGCTGTCGGTGAGGCCATTGTCGTTAAGATGCCCCTCATCTCGATCATCACGGCCTGCAGCACCTTCTCCTGAGTCTCCGCTTGAGCTTCGAGGATTGTCCGTAGAGTGTCCGCGTCCATGTCGAGTCGGCTGCACGGCGTAGTCGATCCTGATTGCCAGATGTAATGGAGTCGAAGTAGAAGATCTATTAGTGAATACCAATAGAAGACGAATATAAGACGAATTGATTAGTAAGAAATCGGCGCCTTTTTATACTGGTAGGGTCTGGTCAAACGTGCTAGTCAAGACCCAGGAGTGAAGATCAAATAGTACAATTTGGGCGCCTAAATGCGATCACTTTTTGAGAAGGGTGGTAACCCTACTACAAATCTCTTTTCCTCAACAGCCGAAATCTAGGAGATTTCTAGTTCTTGTCAATATTTTTATTATTATCCCTAAGACTGCTATTCGAACAAATCTCCCGTTTTGATGTTGTTGCGGCACTTTTCCAGACACCCGAAAAACGCACCCCTCCAAAACAATACCACTTCCAGTTGCTTTCAAGACTTGAAGACTTCTAGAACACATATTTACATATTTTCGCCAAGGGTATCAGAAAATAGTTCATTCGCCGCTGATTGGCGTCACTTCTGTAATGAGCCATGCGGCTCTAACGGGGGGGGGGTGCTGGGAAAGTGTGACTTCTAGATAGGGTTACTCTGTGCAGACAGGTACGCTGTGATCAGGAAGGTTTAAACGTGTACGCGTTTCATCTGTCTATTACTTTATTGTGTCATTGTGGGCGGACATCGTACTTCCTGTTGTCGCCTGTTCAGCACTTCTCAGCTTGCAGGTCGCTTCTGTCTCTTCAAGTGACCGCACATGAAGAGCATGCATCTTTAATTATTCACGCTGTACAACATTTGAGTACTGATCCTCTCCCCACTTCAGATTGAGCCCTGCGCTTACGCTCCCCCCCTCCCCTCCCTCGCGGTCAAATATGCCCCCCGCCGTGATTATCACAGCGATGGGTGCCCTGCCTCCAGCTCCGATTGCATTACTTCCAAATGACGAATGAGGCGCCTATTCACAGCTGTAGAACCCCCCCCCCGCACATAGCTAGGGCCGAGATCTTCGGATGTCTTGTATCTTTAGAATCTCAGCCCTTGATTTAATGTTGGACGAGTCGTTTCCTAGAGCGAATGCTGCGCGTGACACGGCTTATAGCGCCTTTCAGTGGCCCTGGCCGCGACTCGGCTATGCCGAATTGCATCTTATTGGCGTGTGTAGTCTAACGAGGGAAGTCCGCCAACTTACCAGGAACTTTCAATGAAGACCCGGGTAGATCAGTTGGTCTATAATGCTATTTACAAACATAGATATCAAAACTGCTAGCTGCATTTCACAAGCGACTTATGAGGAGATAAAGTTTGCAATGGTACAGTGCGGTTGAGGGTGGTGATGCGTAAGCGAAGAATCAGGATAAATAAAATTGTGTACACCGACCAGAAAAGAAGTTCTCACAGGTTGCATTTCTTTATTTGTTGAGCGAGCAGTCCATAATAGCGTTTGGGCGCGCTCTGCCACGCACCGACGACCGCTGCGATCGCGGGATCGCCGAGGTCGCCGCGATCGCCGCGATCGCCGCTGCTGTCGCAAAGTATGAACCCTGCCTATACCAC